AATATATGCTAAAGTATGAACCTGTTTAAACAATGGACTGCCTATATTGATAATTGTTACAACTGCTTATAGTGAAATGGATAATGCAAAACACTGCAACCGAATCCTCATCCTCTGAGGCCAGAATGGCTAGACTGGAACGGATGATGGAACTGATAACTGAAAAGATTAGACCAGCAACAGAATCAACAGCCCCCACCTCCTCCTCTGGTACAGTTGGAACATAATGTGAATGTTAATGATGGGGACATAATAACTCTCACCCATAAGTTCAGCAAGATGAAACCGCCATCCTTCAGGAGGCTGTCACGACCCAAACCCGGCCCTAGGTTTAGCACCGTAACCGGCCAGTAATCCGAGATTACCGAAGGCCTGCAGGACAGTAATACCGGTAAAACAGAGTACAAGGCTTGGCGGAAGCCAAAACAGTAAATAAAACAATGCCCAATGAGCTGCGACAGTCTATATGAAAAGATTTTTCATACATTATATAAACAGACAGAAACGGTATGCACCATATTTTACAATCATTTAGACCTAGGGACTCAACCCTAGATAACAGTACAGTAAACATTCAGTCAATACAAAACAGTAGACGGTACAGAAGGGGAATTGTAAAACACCCCTAAGCCCTAACACGATTAGGCTCGAACCTCGCAGTGAGCACAAAGGCTGCTTGACAAAACTGGAGTCTAACCCACGCTCCTAGCTCCGGTTTGGTGGCTGAGCACCTACAGTATCTCTCATTAAATACCCCGAAGTAGATTTCCGAGAATCAACATCACCAGCCATGTCAGAATCTGTGAACCCATCAAGCATCGGCTTACCATCTCCAAAACACAAACATACCTTCGAAGTCCCTCGAAGATATCTTAGAATCCATTTTACCGCTGCCCAATGTTCTTTACCCGGATTAGAGAGAAACCGACTCACCACACCAACTGCGTGAGCAATATCCGGCCTTGTACAAACCATGGCGTACATCAAAGAACCAACTGCTGGAGCATAAGGAATTTTCAACATCTCTTCTTTGTCTTTCTCACTTGTAGGACATTGATTCGAACTAAGCTTGAAGTGACCCGCAAGTGGACAACCAACCGGCTTTGCTTTATTCATGTTGAATCTCTCAAGAACTTTCTCAATGTAGCTTTCTTGAGACAACCAAATCAGTCCCTCTTTGCGATTACGAACAATTTTCATACCAAGTATTTGTTTTGCCGGTCCCAAATCTTTCATAGCAAAAGACTTACTCAACTCTAATTTCAATCTATTAATCATAGTGTAATCTTGACCCACAATTAACATGTCATCAACATAAAGCAAAAGAATAACAAATTTACCATTCAGAAATTTTTTCACAAACACACAATGGTCTGAAGTGGTTTTAGAAAAACCATTATTCATTATGAAAGAGTCAAATTTTTTGTACCATTGCTGCGGGGCTTGCTTGAGGCCATACAAACTTTTCTTCAATTTGTAAACAAATTTCTCTTTCCTTTTCTCTACAAAACCTTCCGGTTGCTCCATGTAAATTTCTTCTTCAAGATCACCATGAAGAAATGCAGTCTTCACATCAAGTTGTTCAACTTCAAGGTTCATACTTGCAACCATGCCAAGTACAACCCGAATAGAAGACATCTTTACAACTGGCGAGAAAATTTCATCAAAGTCAATATCTTTCTTTTGCCCAAAGCCTTTCACAACAAAACGTGCCTTGTACCTCAGATTCTTGCCATCATTCTTCAATTTGAAGATCCACTCCTTTTTCAGAATTTTCCTCCCCTTAGGCAACTTCACTAAATCATAGGTGTGATTTTCAAGTAAGGAATTCATCTCCTCTTCCATGGCCTTTTTCCAATTACCTTTCTTTACATGCTCAATTGCTTCTTGGTAGCTCTCAGGCTCCCCTTCATCGGAAGAAGGTTGTCGGTCCCTTGTAGATTTCCTCAACCCAAGTTGTGGTGGCGGTTCTTGAGTTGGATGCTCTTCCTCAATTTCTGGCTCAACCTCATTAGGATTAGCATCATCCTCTATATCTTCAATAGGTGGCTGCACATCTTCCCCATTTTCATCATCAACTGAAGATGAAAAAGATGGATCCATGTCAATGAGATCACTAGTTTTTGGCTCCGGTTGATCACCTTTGCCAAAGTCTTCAATTGTTTGATTTTCAAGAAACACAACATCACGACTTCGAATGACTTTCTTGTCGACTGGATCCCACAATCTATACCCAAATTCATCACGCCCATACCTAAGAAAAATACATTGTCTTGACTTGCTATCAAGCTTGGACCTCTTATCCTTTGGAATGTGAACAAAAGCTCGGCAACCAAACACTCTCAAGTGCTCATAAGACACATCTTTGCTGGTCCAAACTCTTTCAGGAACATCACTATTCAAAGGATAGGAAGGAGACAAATTAATCACGTCAACCGCTGTCCTCATTGTCTCACCCCAAAAGGATCTTGGCAATTTAGCTTGTAAAAGCAAACACCTTGTTCTTTCCACAATGGTGCGGTTCATCCTTTTGGCAATGCCATTTTGTTGAGGAGTCTTCTTAACTGTCTTTTGGTGCCGAATACCTTGGCTGCGACAATACTCATCAAATGGCACAATGTATTCACCACCATTGTCTGATCGGATGCACTTCAATTTCTGCCCTGTTTCTCTTTTAACCATGGCCTGAAAATGTTTAAATACTTTTAGAACTTGATCTTTAGTTTTTAGTAGAAAAGCCCAAACTTTCGTTGAATAATCATCAATGAAAGTAATAAAATAAAGTGCACCACTATGTGTTCTAACTTTCAAAGGACCACAAACATCCGAATGAATTAATTCCAAAACATTTTCTTTTCTAGAAATAACATTTTTATGAAAAGAAACTCTATGTTGTTTATCCGCCAAACAATGAACACAAGTTTTAAGATGTGTACCTTTCAAACCGGGTAGAAGCTCTTTCTTGAACAAAACTTGCAGCCCTTTTTCACTCATGTGCCTAAGCTGCTTGTGCCATAATAATTTTAGAAGTATCATTTTCAAGTGCATTGACAACACCTTTACAAATTTTCCTTGCATCGAATAAAGTGTATGAGTCTTCTTACACTTAGCCACCACCAGAGAACCCTTTGTGAGCTTCCATATTCCATCACCAAATTTGTTGTTGTAGCCTTCATCATCTAGCTTCCCAGTAGAGATCAAATTGAGGTGCCTCACATCTTTAAGCAACAACTTGCAGTCCAAATTTGTTTCTAAGCAAACATCACCCATGCCAATAATCTTGGACAAACCTTCATTACCCATTCGAACAGAACTATAATCTCCTTTGGTGTAGGTAGTGAAAAAATCAACTTGAGAAGTCACATGAAAAGAAGCACTACAATCGATCACCAAATTGCTCTCTTGGCCTACAAAATTGATACAATCATCTTCACAAACGACCATGAGATCATCGGTAGTAACTGCTGTTGTGTCTTCTTGCTTCTTATCTACACTTTTGTCACGCCTTTTCTCCTTGTTCTTGAGCTTTCGGCATTCTCACTTCATGTGTCCTTTCTCATGGCAATAATAACACTCAATGTCTTTCTTTGAAAAAGAACCATCTCTTGATTTGTCACGGCTTTGATCACGAGCATGAGGAGTCTTACTCGTCCCCCTTGTTTTTCTTCGGTCTCTCACAACGAATGCTTCTGAATGAGAGGAACACGCTGATTTTCTTCTAGTTTCTTCATTCAACAAGCTACTAGTGACTTGGTCCATTGTGACAACTCCATTGGGTGCCGAATTACTAACTGTCACAACTAAAGTCTCCCAACTTTCGGGCAAAGAACTGAGTAGCATCAAAACCTGCAACTCATCATCAAAAATAATTTTCATAGACACAAGTTGGTTAATAATACTCTTTATTTCATTCAGATGTTCCGGAATAGAGCTGCCCTCTTTATATTTTAAATTAACCAACTTACGAAACATAAGCGCTTTATTTGTGGCTGATTTTCGATCATAAAGGCCTTCTAATTTTTTCCATAAATCATGTGCTGAAGTTTCAGTAGCAACATGATAAAACACACTGTCATCAATCCATTGACGGATAACACCCACGGCTTTTCGATTAAGCCTCTTCCACTCATTATCTTTCATATCATCAGGTTTGCCACTATCATCTTTAATAGGCCCATACAAATCTTTACAAAATAATAGGTCCTCCATTTTAGTTTTTCAAGTTACCCAATTACTTCCATTGAAGCTAGACATACGACCCACATTCCCCTCCATTGATTTACACAAATAAATAAACCCAAATAAACTGTAAGCTCTGATACCAGTTGTTAGGAAAAATATGTGATTCCTTACAAGTAAATCAATCAATGGGAATAAAAACTAATGCGAAAAAATTGAATCAAAAGCAACACAAGAATGTTTTGTGGTTCTCTCAATGTGAGGTACGTCCATGGGATCGAAATTCGATTCCACTATCAACCAAATAATTTTTCAAACAATTACAAACGAGACACGAATGGTCTCACAAACCACCCTTAGGTGAATTCTAAATAATCACAAATAAATAAAGAGGAAAGACTTCACCAAATAAATGAATCAAAATCTTCAAAACCAGAGTCGAAGACGACCCAAAAAAATTCTCCCAAAAGAGGACCGAAACGCTTCAAAGTAGAGCACCGATGAAAGCACACTATTGCTTGTTTGTGAAAGCAATACACACAGCCACACCTTGACCCCCGAATTGACTTTTCCAATCAATTATTCTATAGCAGCTACACTTTCGGAAGAAGAAACCAATGTATGTCCCTCAAATATATTATTAGACAATATATATATCTAAAATTTTGGGTTTGTTTTATTAAAATTTTAGTTGTTACCAAATTAGATTGGGTCTCCACAAATTAGATATAATATATAAAAATATATTATACATAAATCAAACCAAATTAAAACTTTTTTAATAAACTAATTAGGTCTCAAACTCCAATAAGAGGATATACCGCCAACAACTTGTACCATCAAAAACAATCCTGGGGATTCCGAATTTACGAGCAATGTCGGCAGTGAAAACAAGGTACTTGTCGGAGATCACGCAGCTCGGGCGGGGATTAAATTGTTCAAATATTTGCACTAGAGGCTGCTGCAGCATTGAAATGGCGACGTAGAAGTTTTTGAAGGAGTGGAGTGAGGGGACAGTGTCAAGAGTTTCGGTTCCTTCGGGGAGGCCAGCCTCAATGGAGGGGTCACTGATTGGTTGGATTCGGAGGGTGTTGAGAGGGGTGGTGATTACGGTAACAATTACACCACGCTGGGCTAGGAGTTTTGCTATGTCTGCCATGGGAATGAGGTGGCCTTGACCCATTAAAGGGATTAGAACAAAGTGAAGCTGAGGAAGTGGTTGAGGACCCATTTCAACAATCTGGGGGTGTGTTGATGATCTCCGAAAGAAGTAGATGTGTGTGTTTTTGTGTGTGTAAATGGAGGACTTAAATTGACAGTCCAAAGTCGGACTTAAACAATGTCATGCCCATGTGACTGTCAAAGCCAAAGACTTAAACAATGTCAAGTCCATGCTAATGTCGTGCCGCATGTGTCTCTATGTCTGCTAAATTTCATGTTCCTTGTTTCTTATTATAAAATTGTAAATTCCATCTCTTTTATCACTCACGACACTTAGAACACCATGTGATCATACTACATGACCACCAAATAACTTCTCCAAAAACACATACCTCGTAAGATTTTAGTCAAAAAAATCAGTAGGTCAATCCATTTTTTTAACCTTTTTGCATATCTTTTTTTAAAATTAACAAAAAAAAAAATCAATTTTCAAACGGGCATTCAAGTTAAAAATCCATATACAGAATATAGGTAAAGAGAAAGTCTAAGAATCTAAAAATTATTTGTGAGTTGGATCTAATTTTTGTATAGTGAGATCCACACATCAAATGAATCTTAACCATTCAATGTGTTTCTTTTTTTTCTTTTTTTTTTTGTTTGATCGGCAAATGTCAATTGTTAGTTGTTAGATTAACACCTGTAGAAAAAAATCTCCCCACCCTGGCAAAGCACCCAAGTGCTTGCACTCCCTTAATTCAATGTGTTTTTTTGAGTATTCTTCTGAGACAAATTTTTCAGTATCTAGTAACTCTAATCAATAAATAATCTTATAATACATGAGAATGATGTTATTTTTCTGGGACAATTTTCACAACATCTTACTACGTGGAATGCATACTCAAGATATTATTCCATCAAATGTTTATAGAATATAGTACATGAGAATGATGTGTCACTATTATTTAAATACTCTTTATTCTAAAATGATACACTCAAAATATAACCAAGCCATTATATATATAATTTCTATTTATATAACCATTACACCAACAAAAATTTTGAGGATAGCCAGTTCAAGTGGATACACATGATAGAGCAGGATAAGATACTATACATTGGTATTTGAGATCCGTTAAAAATTAGAAAATAAAAGAAAAATAAAAAATACAGTGGTATTTGAGAAAGGAATTAATTAAACACTACAAGAATTAACACTTTTAGCAACAAAAAAATTGGTCGCTTTTGGTCGGCAAAAGTGGTCGGTAAATATGTGAATTCTTGTAGTGAAAGTTTACAGCTATCGATTTCATGGCAATTAAATTAAGTTGGTCAACACTTTGCGGTGACAAGTGTAGTTTTCTAAGGGAAATGATTATGGCCTCAGAAAATGTGTTATTTTAGTAATTTTTTAATTTTTTATAAAAAATATATAAAAAATAAAATAAAAAAGAGTGAGGTGATAATTTACAATAATTTTTTGACTTTTTAACTAAAATAAAGAGTAGAGTTGCCAAATGAGACGCAAGTATATGATTCACTGTAAAAATAATTACAATTTGCTTTAGTCTTCTCAATGATCATAATAGTGGAGCTGGACCAGATACTGGGTGTTTTGGCAAGATGATAAAAAGTTGACTTTGACTTTTTATCAAGTTTTTTTTATTTTTTTTATTTTTTAAAAAAGCGATTTGAAAAGTTAATAAAAAAATTATTTTTTTACTTTTGAGATTAATATTTATTTATGGTGTCACATTACACCAAAATGATTAAAATATCCTATCTAACTTGGAAAATATACATTTTGCCTTAGCCCTCACGAGTTATTTTACAACCCGCTTTTTTATCGTTTTCCAAACGATCAAAAATGCAACTTTGGCATTTTGTGAGGCTGCAAACTGCAGCTTTTTGCTGAGGTTCCCAAAAGAGCACAACACACTGATACTACAAAAATACTTTCCAGTTTTCAATTTCAATGCGATAAGTTGGTCAATACTTTGCTGTAATGTAACTAATAATTGCAATTTTTTATATAAGAGCATCTCCAACGGTGAATTATTTTTTCACTAAATTTGATAAAAAAAAAAAGTGTTTTTTTTTTAATTTGATACGAGTTGCTCCAATGGTGAACATTGTTGCTTGCATCAAATGCCTGGGGACATCTGATGGGATGACCGACCGATCGACCGACCGGTTACGCCACTAAATTTTTCCCCCCCCCTCAATTTCTGTTCCAATTTTGTTTCCCTTTAAGAGCTTCCTTGAGCTTGTGCTCTTGCAATTTCCTCAGAAATTATGGGTTCCTCTTGATATCTTTTGTTGAATGGTTAGACCCATCTCTTTTTTTGGTCTTCTTGTCCATGATCAGAACAGCACAGTGAGAAATTGGCTTCCATAGTGAAAGATGTATTGAAATACCCATCTATTCTTCTGCTCTTTTCAATTATCACTGATCTTTAACCAGATCAAATAGAAACCCAAGATTTGATTACCTTGAAAATCTAGTAACTGAGGATTCGAGCCAGATTAAGACAACAAATTTGGAACCTAGAAATGTAGGAAGAAAAAAAGTAAAAAAAAAAATTGAAGTACCTGAGAGCAGTCAAGCCCATTTAATGGATTTTAATGGCAAAGTTTGTGATGAGGTCCAAGGACAACCACCAAGTGCGGAATTGTCAACTAAAAAATTGGCTTCGTTAACACTTGAAGATGCACAATAATCAACTAAGAAAACAGAGGTTCACCCATCTCATTGTGTCAATTCTGTAGTTGAACAAGATTTCATTTTCAAGCTTGAGAGGTCATCTAGGGGTCGACCCGTGAGTCGACCGGGTGGTGGACTTCCCAGTATAAAATCTGTACAAAATTTTGCTGAAGGTGATCATCCAGTGGGTCATCCGGTAGTGAAAATACAACGGTGATGAACAGTGTTTTGGTGAAAGACCCACAACATTCTCAGTTTGGTGAAAAATTTGGGTCATTCTCAATTTGATATCGTTTTGATGAAACTGTTGGCGACAAAAAAAGCTGTCATTTTTCACCAAATTCAAATTTGGTGATGAATCTAGTGAACCATTGGAGATGGTCTAAGGAAATACAGTTGGGTTTGTGGAACTAATTTGTATGGTATATATTAGAGTATTGTTGTGTAGGGGTGGTTTGGGATGTTTTAAATAAGTGTATTTTTTATTTTTTATATTAAAAAAATGTGTAAAAGAATAGAGAAAGTTGGTAGAAAAGTAGAGACGAGATGTTGATTGATGTGACTTAAATAAATGCATGTATGCAAAAAAAATGTACTTTTTTAGTACATGCCAAACACCTACTTTAGTCTCAAAAGTTAAATTTACTTTTTAAATTTAATGATGTGTTAAAAAGATGATTGGTTAATAATTCTATCAATCATCTTTTTGACACATCAATAGGTCTAGAAAATGGACCTAAAAAATAGAATTTTATATTATTATCATAACAGTCATATTATGCTCCTTTTTTTTTTCTTTTTTTTTAAAGTATAATAAAACTAGTGTGAGTTGTAAATATAGACAATTTTATCCAATCAAATCATATAACATTTTATTATTTGTGATTATTGTTGAAATTTTTTGTATATGTGGTTTATTCTTCAACAAATACTTCAATAAGAGTGTAAACAAAGCAATTGTATACAATGTTGAGGTTTTCAATTCTCATTTGGCGATTTCATTGTTGCACAAGAAAATTGGCAATAAAAGAGGTGGGGTTAATCTAAAGTAAATTGACATTTGTCACATGATGATTTTTATTTTTTATTTTTTAATATATAAAAAGTGATGCTTGAGTTAGATTCTCACAATTAGGATTATCAAATTACAGTCAAATTTGTTAAAATCGCATCGATTTGTATCAATTCATACCGCTCTATTCATTAATCGCGGTTTAAATTTTAAAATTTATAATTCGCCTTTGAAACCGCTCTGCTCTGTTATAATTAATACATATATATTTTTTAACCTACAATGAAATATTAAAATAAAAATGAGTGCGAGAGAGATTTAATATGTTAGTTTTATTACAAATTAGTAATTATATATATGAAAAATATTATGTAAAATTAATTTGTGTTATATATATATAATATTTTTAAATTAGTGTTATATATTATGCAAAAACTTAATAATTGGTTAAAATATTCTTTAATCTGTCAGAATCGCTGAAACTACAATTTGCCAATTCACTAATCCGCCATTCAATTTATAATTTTACTCTCAAACCACTCAAATTGCACAACGCACATCCCTTACTATTGCAGCAATATCTTTTTTTCTTATTGTGCTCTTAGTTTCTGTAAAAATAAATATTTTTATTTTTTTACCTTCAACATAGGCCTATAAATATGCTTCATTTATAAATGCGCTGTGATATAGAATTCGAGGTGTAGAGCTCTATACAGCTGGCTGGGGTAAAATCAAACAAGAAAAATGTTTGAGACCTCTAAATTGTGAGCTCTAGAAGAGCTCTAACCTGTGGGTCTCACTGTATGATTTGATATTTTTGTCTTTGTTTTGTTTTTTTATTTTTTTTTAGGTTGTCGTGTCACTAGTGCTTTTATTAGAACTCGATTATTAGAGCTCTTAATCACCATCCAACCAAACAAACAAACAAAAAGAAAAAAAAAAAGGAAAAAGGCAAATCATAATAATAATAAAAAAAAACAAATTAAAACTCTTTTAGAGTTTTTATTTTACAACTCCAAAACATTTTTGTTTGTAAATGTACAACTCACTGTATCAAAAAATAATGCATTATTATTTAGGAAAATGTTTGGAACCTCTTTTTGGAGAAATTCCCACTACTCCCACAATGATGTGGACCAATAATGTGTTTGCATTGTTTTTTTTTTTTTTTTCTCTTTCTTACTTAGACCAATCACAAGTGAGTAGGAATTGTGGGAGCGATATTTTGTGGGGGTATAAATCATTACTGTATTATTTATTGGTTTTGGTGAAATATAAGGAGACACATGCACACATGCACTTAAGGTTCCCTCACTCATTGGGGGTATTTGTTTCAGCTTTTCAGAGCTAACTTATG